AAATGTTCAGCAACAGGTAAATGGATAACCAAACTATGGTATATCCACACAATAGATTACTACCCATCAGTAAAAAGAATAAACTAATGACACATACTGCAATGTAGATGAATCTTAAAATAATTATGCCGAATGAAAGAAGCTAAGTGAAAAAAAAAACATACACTGCATTACATATAGTTCTAAGAAATAAAAATAAATGTAGAACACATTTAGCACCCAGATCTTCATTTCTAATATCATTTTCCAATAAATTACTGATTCTAGGACTGGGGCAGGAAATAGACAAGATGAGTCTGGAGCATCTTGTAATGGTAGAAAGTAAGAAAGCACTAATGCACTAACACACTAACACACACACACACACACACAAGCTCCCAACGCCCAAAGCTGAAGCAACTTAAGCAACAAAATAAAGTAGTATTGAATTATAATCCAAAGTATAAAACAAATATCCATGAGCCCATACTGATATAAAAAGACCAAAGAAATAGTAAATGGGGAAGAAGAGTTAAATCTTCTATGCAGAAGAATTCCAAATTAATTATGTATATATTCCACCCTAGAGGAAAAGCATAACACCCTACTCCCCCACATTCCCTTAAGTGTGGGCTACTCATAGCGACTTCCTTCTAAAGAGCTCAGTATGGAAAGAGGGGAAAAAAACAAAACAAAACAGAGTAACTGTGCATTGAAGAAACCTGAAAAATACTACTTCAGCCAGGTGATTATGGTTAACATCAATAATATTAAGTCTGGTTGTCAGTATGTACCATGTAATCAATATGGTATTTACTACTGTGATTTTCCTCCTCAGAACCCATAAGCCTAGTCTAATCATGAGGAAAACATAAAATTCCAATAAAAGGGCATCCTGCAATATGCCTTACCAAACTCCTCAGGACTGTTAACATCATCAAAAAAGAAAAAAAATAAGGAAAGTCTGAGAAACTGTCACAGCCAAGAGGAGCCTAAGGAGACACGGCCAACAGTATAATGTGGTATCCTGGATAACACCCTGGAAAGAAAAGAACATTAGATAGAAACTAAGGAATTATATCAATATTAGTTCATTAGTTGTAACAAATATACCATATTAATATAAGATGTTAATAGGAGAAACTATACAGAAGATATAGAGGAACTCTCTGCACTATCTGCTTAATTTCTCTGTAAATCTAACACTGTTCTAAAAAGTAAAGGCTATCAGTAAAAAAAAAAAAATTAGAGGAGACAGTCCCAAATAATACATGTAGCTGTATAATTTAACATGTTTAATAAATCAGCTATGAATTAAAAAAAAACACAAAACCTAATGTATGGTGACAGAAAGCAGATTAATGGTTGCCTGGGGATAGATGGCGAATGACAGAGATGGGAGAGGATAGGAAAGAGCAGTAGGAAGGGATTAAAAAGTGGTGTGAAGAAACTTCTGGTGCAAAAGGGTTTATTTATCATCTTGTTTGTGGTGAATGTTTCACAGGTACATAAATATGTCAAAACTTCACAAAATGTACATTTTAAATATATGCAGCTTATTGTATGGCAATTATACTTTAATAAAGCTTTTTTTTTAAAGTATAAACAAACAAACTTGTAAATTTGAATTCTCTTCTCCAAAAATAGTCTTCAAGAGTATTTGGAGTTTGCCTTCTCACATCTGAATTTAACCAGTAAATTTTGTTTCACTCAAAAATTCTTGTATTTGAGAATTACTGTGCCAACAATGCCTCATCACCCAGCATTAAATTTCATGGCATAATGGTGATTTAGGAAGTGCTGGGCATCTTTATTATTGTTTTCCTACCTCAAGATTTTAAATCTTATGGAAACAAATTAGTCAGTCTGTTAGCTTAAGGGAATTTTTTTAACCAATCAAAATTGAGCCAAATACAGTTTGCTATTTAAAATGAAGTCTAGTGCCAATTTTATGGCTATAGCAATCTGAAAACCAAATTCTAAGCCATCTGCTATTTAAAACTCAGACCCCTAAGAAGACTGACATTTGATCACCTGGGTTCAAACCTGGCGATGCCACTGTCTTTATAATTTTGGGCTACTCTACGCCTCAATTTTCTCAACTATGAAATGGAGATAATAGTGTCTACTTTACAGGACTGTTGAAGGATTAAATAAATTAACACATGTAAAGGTCTTAGAAGACTAGCTGGTAGTGCTCTCCAGATGGTACAAATTCTACAGATTCTATGGCATTAAACATCAGGGAAATATAAATTAAAACCATAATGAGATGCCACTTCACACACACTATGAAGGCTATAATAAAAAAAGACAAACAGGTGTTGCCAAGAATGTGGAGAAATTGGAACCCTCATACACTGCTGGTGGGAATATAAAATGCGCAGTCTCTTCGGAAAACAGTCTGGCAGTTCTTCAGAGGGTGAAACCTAGAGTTACCATATGATCCAGCAATTCTACTCCTAGTTATATCCAAGAGAAATGAAAATATATGTTTGTACAAAAACTTAAACATGGATGTTCATAGGAGCATTATTCATAATAACCTAAAGTAGAAACCACCCAAATGTCCAACAGCCAGTAAATGGATAAATAAAATGCGGTACATCCACACAATGAAATATTATTTAGAAAAGAATGATACATGCTACAACATGGCTGAACCTTGAAAACATTATACTAAGTGAAAGGAGCCATCAAAAAAAGACCACATACAGTATGTGTCCATTTATATGACATGAAATGCCCAGAATAGGTAAATTCAGAGAGAAGGAAAGTAGATTGTGGCTGCTGGTAGATTTGGGGTGGGAGGATTGAGGAGTGACTGTTAATGGGTATGAGGTTTATTTTGGGGGTAAGGTAAATGCTCTAAAATTGATAGTGATGATGGTTACACAACTGTGAATATGCTTAAAAACCATGAGACTGTATGTGTTAAAATGAGTGAACTATATGGTATGTGAATTATATCTCAATAAAATATGTTAAGTGGTTTAAAATAGATTAGAAAAAGCCTGAAAGCAACAATGACAGTATTAATAAACTGGTTCACCTCTCTAGTCTCATCCCCTTCTATTCCCATATTTACCCAATGCTCCATCCATAATGAATGGCATCCTTGCAGTTCCCATATTATGTCCTCCCATTTGATGTCCTATGAACATCTCTATCTGCTTCCTAGAATTTGCTTCACCCCTCTTTTACCTCTGTAACTCCTTTATATTCAAAATTTGTCAAAATAAGCTAATTGTTAGAATAATCAATTCCAAAATCCAGTGGCCTACATCATATAGCTTTATTTCTCACTCATGTAGACCTGCCCCAGGTGATTTAGAGGTCCAAGATCCTTACCTCTAGTGGTTCTGCCCATCCTGGAGTCTTGGAGTCTTCCACTGTATTCTCTATATCTGGTTGAGAGAACCTGTGGGGCATCAGCACAGATAGGATCTTGAGGAACTTTTTAAATGATTAATTCAGTTTTGAACATGGTATTTAGGATGACATCAAGATAACCAATGTTCTTGCGTTCAGCAGAGATTATTAGTTTATGATTCTGTACCTCAAATATATTGCAGTATTCTCCCCCTCTCTCTATTATATCTTATAAAATAAGAGGTGATCTACTTAAACAATAAACCTCAAAGATAATTATTTTTTAAGAATAAATATGTTGGGGGAGAAAATACTATTCACCATCTCTATTGAGGGACTTATGATGTAGCACAGAATATAAGCTGGAGCTAAGGGAAACTTTCCTTAAAGTGCTAGTTAATAAAAGTTGGAATAAATTCCTTAGACAAATCAAAATACGACACACAACATCTAAACTTCAGAACCGGTGAAGAGGTATTATCAACTATCTTCCACTCCCCAATTTCTCTGCCACATTGAGGACTGTTCCAAAGGAGCAGGACATCTTGGTTGTATTAAGAGAAATTTGAAAGTACTCACTTTCATGGAAGTCATAACAGAGAGAATCTCTTTTATATTATTTAGGATCATCCTTGATACCTTCTTTAACATAGCCAAATATCTTTCTCGATGTTAAATCTTTACAAAACTGAAATCCTGAAAGAATCCATTCGTTTTTCCAGTTAGATTGAGCATGATTCTTAATTGGTAGTACAATATCTTAATATGTTTATGAAGTTCCATTCCACAGCACCTGCCCTTCAGAGTGGAATTCAGACTAGTGGTTGGGGATACCAAATCCAGAATTTCAGATCAGGTGCGTCATTGGTGTAGGGAGGGGCTTTGGGCGGGGCATCCCGATAGGGCGGAGGCGTCATTAGAAAGCCGTGGGGCCAGGCTATAGCTGTCATTACTCGAGTCAAGCTTAGTATTATTTGTGTTCGAGGATATGCTGTGTAAGCAGCATTCTCAATGCAAACTAGTTTCACTCAGCACTTGAGTGAAATATATAAGTACAGACGTCTCGTCCTCCTGAACTGCCGAGAAACGTGAGAGCTCCAGGGATGATTGTCGCCAGCTATTTATTGGGAGCAGGCAGAAACCCGACTGTTTTTGAGAATGGGCTGTAGCGAGAAGTCCAAGTAGTCCCAGGGTTTTAATGAGAAGGAAAGTGGAACGCAGTCAGGGATTGGGAGCTACAAGACACGCTCCGCTTTGAAGCCGGAGAAAAAGTCGGGAGAGAGAGCCGCGCACATAATTGCTTTCGAAGTCACCGCCACTCGAGTGCCGGAATTGTGAGTACTCTGCCCCTCCCGTCCTCCGACTGAAGTCGGAGAACTCTCCCAGCTAGGAGACTACCTTCTCCTGCTCTCCCCACCTGACTGCCACCCTTCCTCTGCCTACCAGATGGAGGGCAAAGGCAGAAGCTGACCAGCGCCGCCCCCTTCCGACCCGGGAGGTGGAGATCCCCCACCCCGCCCCACAGAGTCCAGCCAAATTCAACTTAACTTTCTCCTCCCGCTGCTCCTATATTTCCCACACCTCCTCCTCCTTCCCCTATCCCTCCTCCTTACAGACAGGGGAGGGGGAAAAGGGGAGTTCAGGTCGTCATGACAGAGACGAAGGCAAAGGATTCCCAGGCTCCCCACGTGGCGGGCGGCGCGCCCACACCCGTCGGATCGCCTCTGTCGGGACGCCGGGACGCTGGCTCCTTCCAGGCGAGTCAGACCTCGGACGCCTCGCCTGTAGTTTCGGCCATACCCATCTCCTTAGACGGGCTGCTCTTCCCTCGTCCCTGCCAGGGACAGAATGCTGACGGGAAGACGCGGGACCAGCAGCCGCTGTCAGACGTGGAGGGGGCGTATCCCAGAGTAGAAGCCACAAGCAGTGCAGGAGCTGAGAGCTCTAGACCTCCAGAAAAAGACAGAGGGCTGCTGGACAGTGTCTTGGACACGCTACTGGAGCCCGCAGGCCCGGGGCAGAGCCACGCCAGCCCTCCTGCTTGTGAGTCCACAAGCCCTTGGTGCCTGTTTGGCTCCAAGCTTCCCGAAGAACCCCGGGTTGCCCCCACCACCCAGGGGGTGTCGTCCCCGCTCATGAGCCGGCCAGAGAACAAGGCTGGCGACAGCTCCGGGAGGGCAACTGCCCATAAAGTGCTGCCCAGGGGCCTGTCACCGTCCCGGCAGCTGTTGCCCCTGACCTCTGGGAACCATCCTTGGCGGGGGGCCGCCGTGAAACCAGCACCGCAGCCCGCTGTGGTGGACGTAGAGGAGGAGGATAGCTTCGAGTCCGAGGGCTCCGTGGGTCCGCTTCTGAAAGGCAAATCCCGGCCTCTGGGAGGCACAGCAGCTGCAGGAGCTGCGGCCACCTCTCCTGGAGTGGCCACAGGAGGCGTCACCCTGGTCCCCAAGGAAGATTCCCGCTTCTTAGCGCCCAAGGTCTCCCTGGCGGAGCAGGACGCGCCCGCGGCGCCCGGGTGCTCCCCGCTGGCCACCACGATGATGGATTTTATCCACGTGCCCATTCTGCCCCTCAACTCGGCCTTCCTGGCCGCCCGCACCCGGCAACTGCTGGAAGGGGAGAACTATGACGGCGGGGCTGCGGCTGTCAGCGCCTTTGCCCCGCCGCGGGGCTCGCCCTCGGCTTCGTCCACCCAGGTAGCTGCCAGCGACTTCTCCGACTGTGCATACCCGCCCGACACCGAGCCCAAGGACGATGGGTTCCCGCTCTATGGCGACTTCCAGCCGCCTGCCCTGAAGATCAAGGAGGAAGAGGAAGGCACCGAGGCAGCTGCGCGCTCCCAGCGGCAGTACCTGGTGGCGGGTCCTAATCCCGCTGTTTTCCCGGATTTGCCGCTGGCTCTGCAGCCGTTACCTCCGCGAGCGCCATCGTCCAGACCCACGGAAGCGGCGGTGGCGGCCGCCGCACCCGCCAGTGCCTCTGTCTCCTCGGTGTCCTCGTCGGGGTCGACCCTAGAGTGCATCTTGTACAAAGCCGAGGGCGCGCCGCCACAGCAGGGCCCGTTTGCTCCGCCGCCCTGTAAGGCGCCAGGGGCAAGCGCCTGCCTGCTGCCCCGGGACGGTGCCTCCACCTCGGCTTCGGCTGTCGCTGCGGGGGCGGCCCCCGCGCTCTACCCGCAGCTCAGCCTCAACGGGCTCCCGCAGCTCGGCTACCAGGCCGCCGTGCTCAAAGAGGGCTTACCGCAGGTCTACCAGCCTTATCTCAACTACCTGAGGTGAGGGCCCCGGGCGGGGCGCGGGGATTCCTAGGAGTCTCGCGAATAGCGGTCCAGCCAGTTCGTCGCCGCTATCTCCTGGCCCTCAGGGTCCCACTCACCCGAGTGGCCTCAAGAGGAGGGGTGGTCGGGGCGGGGCACAAGGGTAATTTGGTTTCCTTTTTCTTCCCTCCTCTCCTTACTATTTTAGGGACACAAAGGGGGCGCATAATATGCCGTTTTTGGAGCGTGCCTCCTCAAAAATATTTTCTAAACTTTCCAAATCTGCGAGTTTTCGAGACAAAACTAGCCCTGATTTAAAAAGTGCAACGTCATTCTAGGTGCCGCAGTGGAGCGGGAAAAGCGCAGCGAGTTGGGGGCTTTATAAAATGGTTATTTTCTTAGAAGGACATTTACGGGGATTGTCTTTCTTGGAGCAGAGACTTTAAGGATCCTCCTGGAGGGGTGGTAGTTGATGTATGGTAGCTTGCCAGAACTGAAAGCATAACTTCACGGATTGGGACATTTAATGGCTCAATTTTCATACGAATCTCAAGGCTAAAGTTATGTGTAATATGTTTACATTATGGATTTAAACATCAATCACTACCAGTGCACTGTATTCTATTATTGTTTCGGTTTCGCTACTTTTTTCACACAGGTTTTCAAAAACATTTTGATTTACATACTGAAGTAGTGGGATTTTAAAGAATGTTCGCTTTAGAATCTTATTGCTGTGAATGGGCAAAACAGTGTCAATATACTGAACAATTCTTTAAAATGGCAAACACATAAACTCGTGTAAGTGAACAATCATTAGGGGTTGTGTTAAAAACCCAAAACAAAAGCATTGCTAAGTACCACTGAACCCTTAAAACCATGTTTATAGTTACCCAGGCTACAGAAGGGAATAACATTTCATCTGTCAAAGAGTAAATTTATTGTTCTATATAAGGAGTTTTGTAGAAATTTTTTTTTAACAAAACCAATGAACTTTTGCTTTCCTGAACATAAAATTATATATTATTCTTTTATGTTGGTTCTGCTGATGAATGACTAATAACTTACAAATGTGGTGAATCCAGTAACAGTACACCAAGTTTAATTTGCATGTCTTTCAAGGGTGTGTATACATTCAGTTCTGTTTTAAAATCCCCTTTCACTCTGTCAATTCTGTTAAGAAAACTTTAGTATTAGCTAGTGGTGCACCTAAAAATAAATGGAGTACTTTGTTTTGCATTTCAAGGCCGGATTCAGATGCCAGCCAGAGCCCACAGTACAGCTTCGAGTCATTACCTCAGAAGATTTGTTTAATCTGTGGAGATGAAGCATCAGGCTGTCATTACGGTGTCCTCACCTGTGGGAGCTGTAAGGTTTTCTTTAAAAGGGCAATGGAAGGTAAGTTCCTTTCTCCTGATCCTTTATTTTTGGTTTAATTGTAAACCGAGAGCATCTATTATTTTTTAGATTTTAATTATCCCTTGCTTCTAAGAAATGGTGATATTTCCATATAACTTAAAATATATGACTATGTTTTAACAATGTTTTTATTTCTAATACTCAAAATTGAATGTGGTTGGGTATTTTAATTGCATACTCTTTGACTAGCCCTTTCAATATTAGACTCAGGTTATACTAATCTTGGGGACAGTGCTGCTATTGTTCATTACCTATTTAGCTTTAAAGAAACAGCTTGGCTGTAATTGTATTTTTATATTTCTATTATATAGTATATGTAATATATACTAAATTTAAAATTTTGATCAAAAGAAAAATGGTGAAAGTCATTGAAATTATGTATCTGTACTTATATGTGTGTGCATATATATGTGATACAGTTACAAATTTTCTACATAATTTTGTCTTTTCTCTACATTCATATTTATGTAATACTTATATAATGGTAATTCTAAACAAATTTTTAAAATTCTCTTTTTTGTTTGGTATATTTTTATAAGGGGATAGGAGTAAACCGTTTAAAGCAAATGAAAAATTTGGGTATCACAATAACAATTACTGAAGAAGTAGTTTGCTATAAGACCTTCATATTTTTAAAATCATCTAAATTATGTATTTATCTAATGATTTTTAATTGACTTACACAATGTATTTTGGACTTGAACTGAGCTGAAATGAGTTTAGGGTTTCCTCTGGAGTGAAGAGATCACACCTGGACAAGGAACAAAAGATCTGATTACCTGCTTTTTTGCTTCCTGTTTGTGAGTTGTTTTTTTTGTTTTAATTTCAAGAGCCTTCTATTTATAAGTAGGAAAGGAAGGAATGGGGAATTTTTACCTTAATGGAATTTTCAAAGGAGTTTGATGTGCATATTTAATATGCATCAAAAGAATATAACCTAAAAGACATTTTAAATTCACTATTCTTGTAGATGCATAACAGGTGATTCTTTACAACTATTATACCTTTTTGGTAAAAATGATTCCAAACCATTTATTAGTAGTATTTGTAATAATTCTACTTAAATTAATTCTTCTTAAAGAATATTTGCTTCATGCTTATCTAGATTATGATTTTTTTCCACAAAGGATGAATATATTTAACTGACACTGAACATATGTATTCAGCTTCAGGAGGTTTTAATTGCATTTTAAATTAATTGAAGCACTGTGTGAAAAGAGGCTACATGAGAAAATGGGACACAACTGAGAGTGGCCCCAACTTTCCTATTGACATTATTTAGTCATAGTTACAAATAGGAGTTCTTTGTGTGGAAGAGTAGATTCTCCAGCACATAATTGAAGTTACCATTTCCATGTGACTTTAGTTCTGGTTTTTTGAACATTCCTTTTGACATTAATAGGATTTCCTTCATTCTTACAGTCTCCTTAGAGTAGTCTAATTTTGTAAGTGAATGACCCCCCATAGAATTCCGTCTGAAGGCCAGTTTTTTTTTCTAGCCCAGCTCCATCTCTTTATAGATAAGCAAGTCCCAAAGACATAAATTTGAATTTCCAAAGAGCACACAACTTGTTAGTAACTAATTGTTAATCACCATAGGTTAGATACTCTTTCACTGCAATGCTTATAAATCAGAGATGGTGTGCACAAGTAGATATATGATGAATCCTACTTAATTTTCAGAAGTTACTTCAAAATGTGCATATAGAACCAAGATCACCCTAAGTAAAATACAAATGCTTTTATAGTATTAAAATAGTATTCAGAACCACATAAAATGTCTTCCCAAATTTACTCTTAGAAAGCATTTGTTGGACCATTACTGTTGGCATGATCCTGTTTTAGTCTTGAGTAGTAGAAATGAAGTACCTTTATTTGGCAATATTTACAAAAAGGAACTCAAGATGGATGTTTATAAGTCATTCATGAAACTAAAGCAAGATTACAAAACGATATGCGTAATTTCATTCATTTAGCAGGGTTTTTTTTTAATTTAAATTTTAATTTTTTTAAAAAGATTTTATTTATCTGACACAGAGAGAGGGAGAGAGCAGGCACAAGCAGGGGGATCGGCAGGCAGGGGAGAAGCAGGCTCCCCGCTGAGCAAGGCACCCGATGCAGGACTCCAATGTGGAGCTCGATCCCAGGACCCTGGGATCATGACCTGAGCCAAAGGCAGCTGCTTAACCAACTGAGCCACCCAGGCAGTCCCATTCAACAGTTATTTTATAACTCTTAGATCTGTGGCAAAGATATTCTTCCCTTGACTTCACCTCTCTCTGCCTTAGATATAAAATGAGGATAACAATAGCTACGCCTCAGGGTTGTTATAAAGATTAAATGAGTTAATACATGCAAAGTTTTGAAATAAATGCCTAGTATATTGTCATCTTCAATTGGTGTCACTTCTGTCAAGGAGCTTATGATAGAGTTGAGGAGGTAACATATATGCATGTATTTTTGCGTATAAAATAGAGATTCTCACCAAATGCCCAGATAAGCAAATTTGTAAAGTAGTTAAGATTTGTATGGCTTCTGAGTTAGTGTGTTTAGGCATGTA